GTAAAAAATGCTTTTTCCAAGTATGCTAATGAGCCACACCCGTTCCATTTGAAAACATTGAGATATGATTAAAAATACGATTTGGGTATCTTTTAACCGGCCAGGATAAGACACGAATAGCATTAGACGATCAAATCTATTTTTCAAGACTCTTTATTAAAAATTAGTGTTTTTAACACAGCCATTGCCATTGATTGCCACACTCTAGATTGAAATTTAAAATTCAATTTTGTTGTAAGCAAAAATGTGAAAAGTTGACATATGATATGTCATTCTTTTCAGAATGTCTTCTCCTATCGAATAAAGTAAAAAAATACCGAAGCTGCCATTTAAAAATCAAAAGTTGTAGTCATTTTCGGTGAAATAGGAAGTGGTCAAAAAGAATTGAATACGTCAATCAATCCTAATTTATGTCATATACTAACATACCAAATCTCGCTTTTTTATCTGATAATGTAAGAGCGAATAAGAAAAATAAAATATTTTTTTTATTTATATAGCATAATATATGAATGGTGTTAACATCAATTTAATATTCAATCAACATAAATAAAAGAAGCCAAACTTACCTTGGATGCCTGATCTGCACAATACTTTTCACTCCTTGAAATATATATTACGTGTTTTGCAATCTATAAAAATAAAATATACTTGAGCATCACTGGAAAACGCACACAATCACATTACCATAATCGAGTATATAAAATAGTTAAATATGTTTGTTATTGTACCGTAGCTAAGGCCACAAGGCGTCTCACCTACATATAGGCATGGCCCAAAAGCGACATAGTCGTAGCTTAGGCCAGAAGGCGTCTGACCTACATATAGGCATGGCCCAAAAGCGACATAGTCGTAGCTTAGGCCAGAAGGCGTCTCACCTACATATAGGCATGGCCCAAAAGCGACATAGTCGTAGCTTAGGCCAGAAGGCGTCTCACCTACATATAGGCATGGCCCAAAAGCGACATAGTCGTAGCTTAGGCCAGAAGGCGTCTCACCTACATATAGGCATGGCCCAAAAGCGACATAGCTTAATGTTGTTCCGTATCGACAATAAATAGCACTAAAACACTCATTGATAAACATCTATCCTTTAACTAAATAATATTAAAATGCTCTTTGATAAATACTTGTCTACTATAAAACACACACACACAAAAGTAATACTAAAACACCCTTTACTATCTTCTACTAAAGTTCAGTGATAACTGTTAACTAAATAATATTAAAATACTCTCACACAAATTCCAGTAATACCCGTGAGTGAACAAAATACACTCACCTCTATAGTGCCGTGTTCCTTCTCTTCCGTTTGCACACAATTATAATCTGACGCATAGACTAATGTCACATACTAGATCTGACGTCCCTCAAAGTCAACATACACAACAATGCAAACGTAAATGCAAACCACATCGCTTAGGAAACCGCTATTTTATAGCTTTCATAGCGATGAGGTTAGTAAAATCAATTAAAGATTCAAACAAAATACTATTTATTAAAGTAACAATAAACAATTAACAAATTCAATATAAACTTTTTTTTTTTTTTTTCTTTAATAAAACACAAAATTCTTACAGTCGGCCATCCTGCTAGAAGCTCGCCCCGAGTTTGTTTAATCGGACAGAGAGCCTGATGGAATATCGGATAACACTACATCTCCATCTCCATCACTTCCACTAGCAGTTGAATCAGAAACCCCTCCAGGAGTTGTCCAAGGTCTCATTCTATCCACTGCAATCGTTCGTTCATAGTTAGCTTTACGTTTCGTTCGATAAGTGAACTCCATATCTTCTACCACGTATCTATCATGTGGCAATACGGATTTCACAACCATAGGTCCGCTGTAAGTAGGAAGAAGTTTACGGCTGGTATTGGCCGCTGTTTCGGCTTTTTCAATAAGTACCAAGTCGCCTACTTTGTATTGCTTCGCTTCCTTGCGAGCTTCATCAAAATAAACCTTCTGTTTGTTTTGAGCATCTTCAAGTCGTCTGCTTGCTCTTTCTCTTTCAAGCAATAAATCATCTACTACTCGAGGTATGGGTGTAACCGCATCAACCAAACACTGATCAGTTGTTCCTCTTTGATGATAACCATACATTAGTTCACTTGGAGTTTTTCCAGTACTCTTATTTGGCATATTATTTATAGCAAATTGCACTTTTTTGATGTTGGTGTCCCATAAATCTTCCTCTAAAGTTGATGTCATTAATGAATTGTGGATTGTTCGATTATAACGTTCAATTTGGCCATTAGCTCTAGGCGTTGCGACTGCTACTTTCACATGTATTATTGCTCGTTCTTCACAATAAGCACTGAACTTCTTAGATGTGAAGGCAGATCCTTGATCAGTGATAATCCGAGTAGGTCGTCCAAATAAGGCAAATATGTCATCCAGAAATGTCAACACTTCACTCGTCTTTGTTGTTCTAACGGCTTTAATAAAAATAAACTTAGTAAAGGCATCTATGGCGTTGATTAGGTATGATTTCTTGTTTCTGCTCTTCGGATAAGGTCCCAAGTGATCAAGGTGGACAGTGTGCATAGGCAATGCAACTTTTTCTATTGGATTTAAGAACCCTTCTTTTCTTCCTGTTGGTCGTTTTTTATATAGGCAAGGTATACAACACTTAATATATTTTTCCACATAAGCTTTCATCCGAGGAAACCAGTAATATCTGGTTAGTCTTTGCAAAGTCTTTTCGACTGCAAAGTGGCCCAAATCATCATGGGAAGCTTGAACTACCTGAAAACGCATCCCTCGCGGAACTACCCACTGTAGTCCTTTAGATGTAATTCTGTAAATTCGTCCTTCGTGTAAAGCATAGTCCTTATAAATTTTTTTAGCATGCTCACTATCTGGTGGTTTTGATAATATTTGGTGGATTTCCTTCAGATTTTCATCCGTCAGCTGTCCAGAAAGTACCCAATCCGCTTGTGTGATGTGAAAAACGGACTCTTCATTAGGTTGTTCCGATGTTGAGGGATTACGGCTGAGAGCATCCACGTGCTTCATTCGTTCTCCTGGCCTGTATTGAATTTCAAAATTAAATTCTTGAAGCTGCAGCCACCAACGCGCTATTCTAGGTAATATTTCTTTTTTTGAACTAGTTGCTTTTAATGCGTTACAGTCCGTAACAACTATAAATTTTATTCCCAGTAAGTAGACACGAAACTTCTTAAGGCTCTCTACAACGGCGAGAGTCTCCAGTTCGTACGAATGATAGTGCTGTTCTCCACCTATAGTCTGACGACTGTAATAGTTTGTAGGGTGCAACTTACCATCTTCTTGCTTCTGTAGAAGTATTCCGGCAATACCTAACTTGCTTGCGTCGGTATGCACCTCCGTATGCGCTGTAGGATTATACAAAGCGAGAGTAGGTCTATGAATTAGTTCTGATTTCATATTATGAAATGCATCTTCTTCTTCTGGTCCCCAAGTCCATGTTACACTTTTCTTAAGAAGAGCAGTTAAAGGTCGAGCTAGTCGAGCATAATTCTTGACGAAATGTCGAAAATACCCCGTTAATCCGATAAACTGACGAATGTGATGCACTGACCTTGGTGTTGGAAATTCTTCTATTGCTTTTGTTTTATCCCTTCCAGGTTGTACTCTACCTTGACTTATTTCAAATCCCAAATAATTAACTGATAATTTTAGGAAACTGCATTTTTTTAGATTAAGTGTCAGTCCTTCGTTTCTCAAAAGATCCAAGATTATCTTCAAATTTTTCAGTCCCTCCTCAATCGTTGAAGTATGGATCAACACATCGTCAAGGTAAATGGCTGCAATTTCTCTTGCAGGGCCCAATACTCGATTCATGAGTCGTTGAAAAACGCTCGGCGCGTTTGTCAACCCGAACGGCATCCTATTAAATTCGTATTGTCCTGCATTAGTTACAAAGGCTGTGAGATGTTTGGAATGTTCTGCAACTGGAATTTGATAGTAACCCGAGCGTAAATCTAAACTTGTAAAATATGAACTTCCATGTAATCGGTCTAGTTGATCGTCTATCCTGGGTAAAGGGTATCTATCTTTTACAGTTTGCGAGTTCAACTTCCTATAGTCGATACATAACCTTCTCTCTCCATTCTTTTTCCTAACCAGAACCACCGGTGAGGAAAAAGGAGAACTAGATTCTCTGACAATGCCGTCTTTTAGAAGTTCATCCACTATGGTCTTGACAATACCTTGCTCACTTGGTGCCATTCGATATGGGCGAAAAGTAAATGGTCGATCATTCTCCAGTCGAATTTCCATTTCTACGGATTTCGCGCTCCCTAGCTCCTGATTGTTCTGAGAAAAACAATCTCTATATTGGTCAAGTAAATTCAAAAGGTCATATCTCTGATTATCGGTCACAGGTCCCATATTGACTTCGTCAGGATTGATTTTCGGTAAAGCTTCAATGTCTACTCTCATCACTTTTTCTTCATTTTGCTCCTCTGGTACACAAGACCACGCACGAACAAAGACCTTAGTTCCTGTAATAACTATATCATTGGACGAGAGATTTATTACTGGTATGACAGCAGTAAATTTATCACTTAAAGTTAGTATTGTTCGTGGTATGCTATACTCCTCTCCTTCCTTTAATCTTAAACTAGCCTCTACCAAAATATCCCCGTTGTATGACTCGATGCTAATAACTGGAACATGCCCCAAGTAGTTTTCAGGAATGATTGTGGGTTGAACTGCTCGCAAAGATATTTTCTTTACAGGATTTATTTCAGGTGAAGGAATTGCTTCAAACAATAAAGTTGTGTCATCTTTTATTATACGAACGCCCTGTAGTTCAGTAAATGGATGTCCTACTAGAATTGGCACATCCTGAATTCTATCAGGCACTACATTAGCTTCCACCGTTCTTTGAATACTATCGATTTGTAACTTGAAATTAGTGGTACCCAAAGATGCAACTCTGCCATCACCATATCCTTTCATAACACAACGTCGAGATATATTAATAGGCAAAGACAACCGCTTAATTTCACTCTCCTGAATGGTGTTACATGTACTTCCTAAGTCTATATACGCTTTCGTTGTTTGGCCATTAACTTTTACTAATTTGTGATATTTTTGACTGGTGACAGGTAACAATGAAGTTTCTAGTCATGCCACGGTTTGAGTTGTTGATGGTCCTCCTTTATCTGGATGCTCTTGCTTCTTTTTAAAACAATAGAACTCTTTATGTCCAAACTTTTGACAGTAAGTACATTTTTTTATAGCTTCATTAGCGGCTCGACACTGTGTTGTTTTATGTCCTCGTTTGCCACACTTGTAACAACGAATCTCGTTCAGAATTTCACGGTTTTTGCGCACTAGTGCACCACCATGACAATGTGTTTTGGGCGTGATAAAGTCACGTTCATTAAGTGAACGAAGATAACAAAACAAACTTTCAGGATTGTCATAATCGCCAGCTCTAGCTGCAGCTTTGATGTGACTTTCACTTATTCCACCAATAATGCACGAAACAGCATCACGTCCCTGTATTTTGCAACCATTGAGCAAAGCCTGCTTTTCATAAAAGTACTGTCCGTAGGACTCATCTGTTTTTTTCTTCCGGGTCATCATGGCCCACAGCATCTCATTGTAGTCTCTTTGAGAAGGAAAAGCTCGTTGCAGCTTTATTTTCCATTCCTCCCAAGAATATTTTACAGAGCTGAGTCCTTGATACCATATTGTAGCTAAACCCTTCAGTTTAGAAATCGCAAAGTAAATAGTTAAATCTTCTGACCAATGAAACATTTCGCGAAGCTCATCAATTTTAACGCACCATTGCTCAATAGTCTGATTTTTTTCATCTGGGTCAAAAATTGGTACCGTTTCTCCTTTTGCAACTATTGTTGGGCGAGTAATCGCTTCTTGCTGTCCCCGTACTTGTGCTTCCAAGAATAGTGCCATCATATCAGTCAAACGATCGATAGATTGGCTACCAGATGGTGTTAAATCTCTTCGGTCTCGTGACAAACCTGGAGATTTTTCTAAATCATTTTGTTCTCTGACATTCTCGTCAATATCCTCTTGTTCGAACTCTTTTCTAACCGAATGTATACGCCTTTTCTTTGATTTTTCTGCCATCATGTTGCAGTTGTAGCTTGTTGAGCTATATCTCCGTCGCCTAAATAAAAGAAATACATCACTAATAACTGTAGTGTTATTAATAATAATACTTGTTTATTCAAATAATATTTATCTACAAATAACACTGAATTGTCAAATATGTTAAAAGAGGTTAACAAAATAAACACAAAATTCTAAAAAAAAAACGAACATGTAAATATACAAAAATACATTATATACGGACCTGAGAAGCTCAGATCCCACTTCTGAATTGTAAGAGCGAATAAGAAAAATAAAATATTTTTTTATTTATATAGCATAATATATGAATGGTGTTAACATCAATTTAATATTCAATCAACATAAATAAAAGAAGCCAAACTTACCTTGGATGCCTGATCTGCACAATACTTCTCACTCCTTGAAATATATATTACGTGTTTTGCAATCTATAAAAATAAAATATACTTGAGCATCACTGGAAAACGCACACAATCACATTACCATAATCAAGTATATAAAATAGTTAAATATGTTTGTTATTGTACCGTAGCTAAGGCCACAAGGCGTCTCACCTACATATAGGCATGGCCCAAAAGCGACATAGTCGTAGCTTAGGCCAGAAGGCGTCTGACCTACATATAGACATGGCCCAAAAGCGACATAGTCGTAGCTTAGGCCAGAAGGCGTCTCACCTACATATAGGTATGGCCCAAAAGCGACATAGTCGTAGCTTAGGCCAGAAGGCGTCTCACCTACATATAGGCATGGCCCAAAAGCGACATAGTCGTAGCTTAGGCCAGAAGGCGTCTCACCTACATATAGGCATGGCCCAAAAGCGACATAGCTTAATGTTGTTCCGTAACGACAATAAATAACACTAAAACACTCATTGATAAACATCTATCCTTTAACTAAATAATATTAAAATGCTCTTTGATAAATACTTGTCTACTATAAAACACACACACACAAAAGTAATACTAAAACACCCTTTACTATCTACTACTAAAGTTCAGTGATAACTGTTAACTAAATAATATTAAAATACTCTCACACAAATTCCAGTAATACCCGTGAGTGAACAAAATACACTCACCTCTATAGTGCCGTGTTCCTTCTCTTCCGTTTGCACACACAATTATAATCCTGACGCATAGACTAATGTCACATACTAGATCTGACGTCCCTCAAAGTCAACATACACAACAATGCAAACGTAAATGCAAACCACATCGCTTAGGAAACCGCTATTTTATAGCTTTCATAGCGATGAGGTTAGTAAAATCAATTAAAGATTCAAACAAAATACTATTTATTAAAGTAACAATAAACAATTAACAAATTCAATATAAACTTTTTTTTTTTTTTCTTTAATAAAACACAAAATTCTTACAATAAAATAAAAAAGTTATAAGGCTGAGCCACTTTTGAGACGCACCTGGTATATATACATATAAATATTTATAAATTTCTACCAAAAAAATTACTTAAATTAATTTTATTCATTGTAGATTTTTTTATCATTGTTGATCATTAAGTATAATGCAACATCTGCTATTTTAAATACCTTTCTTACAGTTTGGTAGACTGAAATATTGAAACTCTAAATAATGAAGATTTTTTGTCGCCATATTATGAAATATTTTCAATCGTTTCCCTCAAGAATTATAACGTATAAATATTTTGATAGTGCTTACTCTTTCGATGAGGATTTAACCAGTATTTTATCCAGCATATTCTTCCGCAAATACCCACATTTCTATTAAAACTAAAGATTACATATTATAACCTTTAGCAGATTATTATTTTAATTTTACACATCAAACAATTCTACATAAATATTCAGATTCAATATTCATTCTACATATATATTAAAAACTTTCTTTAAACAACTTTGAACCAGCAGCGTATTAGCTCATGATATAAATATTCCGAGATCGACATATACGAGTCCGATAAAATAACAGATAACTTTTAGAGATATGCTCTGAATAAATCAAATACTATTTCAACTTCTTTTGGATTTTTTTTATTTAGCGCCCTCTATTATATATGCAAATAGTCAACGTTTGACCGACGTAAAACGCAGCTGATCCACATTTTGTAGATCGTTGAGTTACGATCCGATCGCCACTACTTCGTCCAGTATAGCCTCTTCTAGAGACGTTTGTTCGTTGTTAATAAAACGACGCTCTAAGCTAATCACATCGATCTGCTATCTAATGTCGAATCCCGTTTTCTACTTAGGTAATTTTTTAACTTTTAATCTGAATTTTCCAAGGCGTTTTTAAGTCTTTCTAGTCGATGTGTCAACACTGGGCGTCGAAAAAGCTGAAATTCCGGCTAATTGCTTGGTATTTGTTTATATAAAAACTTGTTTGTATTTGTATTTTCAATTTTGTCTTCTGGATATTATACCCCAGTCAAAATAAACAAAAAAAAGAGGGTTAAATAACAATACTTCGCGTAGAGCTGCAAATTCGTACAGGTCTTAAATACTCTATTATAGCTGATATCTAAAAAGTCCCCACCCCTTCCACTTCTGCTAAAAAATTATTCAAGGTCAAAAGTCAAAAATATGTTTTTTTCTCCTAAACGGTAAGCGCTATCGCAAAAGTACTGTAGACCATTAAATTTTCCACAATAATGGTTCTTATACTTTTTTCTTACGAACCACCATTCCTGAGATATGGCGATTTCAAAAGTTGATAAACTCGTATTTTTATAATATGCACACATTTCCGCACCACCTGTGAGGTAGTGTACTTGGCGCGTTTTTTTAGCGTGGTTTTCCCTGTATGCCTAGTCCACGATCTATTGCGGTTAAGTTTTATTACACATTATACTATTGATTTTAAAAAACGGTGCTCTTGGTAATGATTATAGTCGAACGGATTATTGTTGATTTTGGGAGAATTTTAATCTGATTGGTAAGGTAATAATCTCCAAATGATACTTCAACAGTAATGTCTTCTTCGCTTTCTTCTTTCACATCTTCTTGCGGAATATCTGGAAATCCATCTATGACAGATACATCCTTTGTCTCCTCATCAAAATCCTGATCTGTATTTAAGGCAATATTGGAGCAAGACTGACCTTGACAATTAGTACATATTGATGTACAAAACAATTCGACTCTTTTACAACCTCAGTTTGCGCTATAACCCTTTTTGCAATTGCAAAAAAAGTGTGTTAAGTAGTTTTTCTGGAGCAGGTGAAAGTAAAGTTTTAATCAGCTCCAAGGTTTAATCTTAAAATTTCCAACCCCAGTCTTCTGGGTTCAGTTGATTGCCTAGCCACAATTGAACTTGATAGTATACACGATATAACAGTTGACAGGCAGAAGCAGATGTTGGAGGAAGACAAGAAAGTTGTACCATTTTATTGTTCCGAGTATTTTTAACAAAACTTAAATATCTATACTTGTCTATAAAATCATTTTTATTGCGCCGGCGCCGACGGATCGGCACCGGCGGATCATTAATTGTAAGAGTTATCTTAGTTACATAGAGTTTTTAAAAAGTAATATTATATACGACTGATTTTATTTTTCTTTTTTAATTTTTATAAAATGAATCGAAAATCCTTGAGTATATATTTCCAAAATGTGCGCGGATTAAGGTCAAAGACGGCTACGTTTAAATTTAATTTACTTATTACAATTGGGGGTTGGAACCTTTGGTGTTACACAGCAAAATAAAACACTAAATGTATTGTAGTGATTTAGTGTTTCATTTTGCTGAATTTACGTTCTTCTAACTACGACATATTATTTATAACCTAATCTTGGTTAAATGGAAGCGTGTTGGACAATGAATTATGTGATGATTACCAAGTCTTTCGTAAAGATCGCAATAGTTTCAATAGTGTCAAGGGTAATCAGGAGACGGTTGTTTCATTGGATTAAGGCATAATATGCAGGCGATCAGACGTGCTGAGTGGGAGAGTGAATGCGAGGATCTATGGATAACTCTGAATGAAGAAGGAGGTGGTAAAGTGCCTATGTGTTGCGTTTATATTCCACCCGGTAATGAATATTCCACCCGGTAATGAATATTCCACCCGGTAATGAATAAATAGTGATTACTATATTTCTCAACATGCCGACCATAAATTCAATGCACATTTTTTGGTTTGTTTCAATTTAACGGATTAAAAACATAAATGACAGAGTACTAGATCTGATATTGTGCAACAACTGAATTATTCAAAACTTGATGAATTCTAGCCAGCCTCTGGTTTCGGAAGATGTCCATCACAAATCTGTAGAATTTGATCTCATTTGTAATTCTATTCATTTATTGGAATACCAAAACGAAAGTTATGTTATTTATTTTAAAAAAGGAGACTATGAATCTCTCAATAATTTCTGTGAGATTGGTCTACATATTTTTTAAGTTATAATGTTTCTGTCTGTGTTATTTTTTTATGAAACTGTTTACAAGGGAATTGAAAAATATTATTTATTCCAAAGAAGTTCATAAACAAAAAAATTCCTCTCTATTTTAAGAAAAATACTTCTTCTTCTTCTTCCTGTGCCTTGTGCTTAGCCGCACGTTGTCTGTACTCTTCATACAATGTGTAGAGTGCCGTTTTCGGCTCTTCGAAATATGGTGGCTGCGTCGCTGATGTTCGTTTTTGGCTCTCTGAAAGTGAATTTCACAGGGGCCACTAAATACAATTGTTTATGGATATTAGTGATTTTCTCTCTGCTCAAGTATGTCAAAATAAAATGTATTTTTTCTATTTTAATTTCAGTGGAAAATTTCTGGTGATACTTGTTAATTTATAAATAATTATTATCAGACCCTTACAGTTTTTTTATTAACTCGTTGATGGACAATAAGAAAAAGTGGTTTTTGGTAAAATCTGGCACTGTGTTTTTTTTTTTAATTCTGGTTCTAACTGGTTCTAAATATCTATTACAGTACAGCAAACAGCTTATATTTGCAAAAAAAACACTTTTTTTTTGGTTTTATTAGCATTTGAAGGTTGACGCCGATAGACGTTTGCCACGTTTGAATATGGTTAAGAATCATTTGCCATATATCACTAAGACTCCGATAGACGTTTATAATAAAAGTGATATAAAGCAACAAAAATATGTTTGTTTTATTAACATTATTCTTAACTGAACAATATATTTTAGACAATAGATAAAAGTAAAAACAACCCACATATAGAAAAAAATCCTCCCAGAATCGCAAACGGGTTTTCGCACCAACCACGGCACCATCGATTCCATATTCTCCATCCGCCAACTACAAGAAAAAGTAAAAGAGCGGCAGTGTAAACTTTATGTTGCATTCATCGACCTAACAAAAGCCTTCGACTCTGTAAACAGAGATCCACTTTGGGAAATTATGAAAAAGTTCGGAGTACCTACCCAACAAATTTCTTACAGTGTGTAAAAGCCGCTATAGTGCATTATGTTTGGAATTCTGACATTTTTATTTTTATAGAAACTAGTTGCCAACAAAATCTTTTGGTATTATTAGGGAGATCGCTCTCAATCTACTTGATATAGGACATAAAATCAGTCTTAATCAATCCCTTACTCTGTTTCCTTAATTGACTGTAAAATCTGTAATCATATTTGATGTAATAGTATTTTTCTACAAGGAAAAATAGAGGGACGGCGAGGCCCAGGAAGAAAACAACATTCCTGGCTAAGAAACATACGGGATTGGGGTATGTACGTAAAAACCACTTTTTCTTATTGTCCATCAACGAGTTAATAAAAAAAACTGTAAGGCTCTGATAATAATTATTTATAAATTAACAAGTATCACCAGAAATTTTCCACTGAAATTAAAATAGAAAAAATACATTTTATTTTGACATACTTGAACAGAGAGAAAATCACTAATATCCATAAACAATTGTATTTAGTGGCCCCTGTGAAATTCACTTTCAGAGAGCCAACAACGAACATTGTCCAATATTTCAACTTTTATAGGCATATCGATATGAATACACTGGTGGCTATGTACGGTGATATTAAAGCTTTTCCCTAAGGGGACGAACTGGTCAATAAATGCCAATTTGCTGGACATTGATACATCGACCGAGTTGTTAATTAAAATGTAAAATTCTACGAGTATTTCTCGGCCTGGTTGCGATATTTAGTTT